ACACATACACATACACACATACATATACATGCACACCTTAAAGAGAGTGGGAGAGACATTCACAGAGGAAAGCTAAAACGCGAGGACGTGGTCATGGTGGGAGACAGGATGAAGTAGTGGTAAACGGCCCTGCGTGATACACAGCTGATCAGTTTCAGTCGTTCCGCGACGGACAAGTCGTTGTGATACGGTGTTTATACGTGGCTCGATACTGCAAAATCGAAGCGTTTCTACGTAGAATGACAGCAAATCGTGTATAAGAATATCCTGTATACATGCCATTGTCTACGTGCTCTATGCAATTTGAAGGAGTAACGAAAGCAAAAGGTACGGGCAGTGTAACCCCGGTGAAATTACACGGAATATCATATTGCGGGTTACTGTTGGTGGCGTCGGATCAATCGGACAATAGATATTCCCCATTTCGACAATTTCGAAGGAAATCGTTTGTCCTATCCTCGGGGTCTATGACCGGTTCACGAGATTCGCCTTATCAGAGAAACACAAAAATCTACGGTCTAACTGTGACCACCAACATCAGATTGAAATTAATGAAGTCCGAAGCGATCGAAGAAGAGGACACAACTGCTGATCCTGCAGTTTGTGAACATTGATAGTAGTGCATTCGTAGGTCACGATTATATCTATTCGGTATCTGTTGTAATTCGGTGCATTATCAGTCTTGTTTCTTCTTCTACATTCTTCCGTTGTTCGTTTCTTTTTGTTTCTTCTAATAATTCCCGTGTCAAACTAGTTCAAACTAAGTTTACGCGTTCGTGCCGACGGACGGCGTTAGATTTTCTTTCTTCGCAGCGAACTGTGAATTCGCTTTGCTTTTCCTTTGTATAATTACATTCAATATATATATATATATATATATTGTATATGTGTATATGCGCGCGTGCGCTAGTGTGAACGGAAAAGAAAAGGTCGATGACAATGCAACGAGTCCAAGATCAAGACAATGGAATCAACATCAAATTCGGTGCCAGTAAAAACAAGAAAGGAAGCTATAGGCTCGTATCGCAGCACTCTGAAAACGAGAAAAACAACTTCAACGGGACCAATAAAGAAGGTAAATCATTGTATTGATGATTTACATTTTTATTTCACCTTTTTCTTTTTTGAACGGATCGTCACTTGCGTCGCTAATTGCGTGTAATTTATAAGAGAAAAAGAAAGGAAAAAAATTAAAAATATATGATGCACAGTAACAATAAAAATTTAGAATTTTCTCAATGAATTCTGATAATAAATGCATTGAATACATATCCAATAATAAAATTATATAGATAATAAAAAATGTACATTGAATTTCAAATAAAGAAAAAGAGTTCCTTGAGATAATAATAGAATGTTTTTTGATTTAAAACTATTTCAAGTATGCTGTAACTAGAAACTCTAACATTTAATTTTATATAAAACTTTATGTATAATAAGTTTTATATAAAACATTTTTTAGCTCTAAATGTATTGAAACATGATATGTAAATTAATTAAAACAATAGTTTAGTACTCATAAACATGATGATACTAATAAACATGATAATGCTACTAATTATTTTTCTTTTTAGTTAAAAATGTAACAGTCAAAGAAGATTTAGTGCCACCAGATGGAGGATGGGGATGGCTTGTACTTTTAGCATCCGTTATGGTCAATCTACTTATTCCAGGAACAGTAAAATCTTTTGGTGTTTTGTTTGTTGAGTTTCTTGAAGTTTTTGATGCATCACCTGCTGCAGCTGCTTGGATACCAGCTTTATGCTATTTTCTATATAGCTCACTTGGTAAACTTCATTGCTGTTGTTTTTAAAATAAAATTCTATAGTTACTTGGAATTGAAAATGATAAAATTAATTTTTATTGTAGGACCACTTTCCAGTATACTATCAGTTAAATATTCCTATAGAACAGTTACTTTATTAGGAGGAACATTTGCTGCTGCAGGAATGATGCTAAGTTATTTTGCAAACTCTGTGGCCTTTTTGTGTATTAGGTAATTATTAATATATGTATCATTGTTTTTAAATTAAAAGTATATTATAAATATATGTTAAAATTATAGTATAAGTGTATAATCTTATTAAAATATTTGTTCAATATTTCAGTTATGGTGTCCTGGTTGGAACTGGAGCTGGATTAGCCTTTCCTCCAACTGTATATATAGTAACTTCATACTTTGTACGGTTACGAGGACTTGCAAATGGTCTCTGCATATCTGGTAGTGCATTAGGTTCAATATTTCTTCCACCCATCCTAGGAATTCTTCTACGAGAATATGGTTACAGGTACGTTTTTTTGTTATATTTATAAAAGAAGAACAGGTATGGCTTTATTATCTCTGTAAAAGTTTATTTTATTCTTACTAAGAAATTACA